ATATATATATAAATACATTTTATATAAAACAATATATTTTTGAGTGGGCTGTATCTGTCGAAAACTGCAAGCTACAGTATGTCTGCTGTACGCACCTCCCTTACGAAATGAACTATAGTATTACTATAGTATTGTATAGTGTCCTATAGTATTTTTCACCAGCTATTGTATTAGTATAGTCTTTTCTGTAGTGCCATTTTATTAGCTACAGTAGCCCTATAATATTTCAATAGTAATACTATGTATCTAGATCTTTGTAGTATTCCTATATTATTTTAAATAGTATAACTATAGTATAATATATATACTGTTTCTGTAGTTTTTTTTTTAACACTATAGAACACTCCTAGTAATATCATGATATTGTCATAGTGAATGCATATTATTACTATAGTGTTTGTAAAAGCATTACACTGCTAGAATTAATGTGTCATTTTTTTTTAATCAAATTAATTGATAGTTCTGGCATTTATCAAACCTGGCAACTCTGGGCTTCCTGGCAGCTGTCAATCAAAGTCCAGTGGCTCCGCCCCAAAGTGTGAGAAACTTTTCACGCGCGCGCAGACGGACTCCGCGAGCGAGTGAGGCTGACACTCCCGCGAGCGAGCAAGAGGGCTGTCTGCGCGCGAGGGTCATTTCATGCGCGTGTAAAAGCACATTTTCCGCTCGTGATTAGCTTTTTTTGCGCACTAGAATATTGACCCAAATCTGACTCCATAGCTGGCTTCCTTCCTTGCGTTAACAACTGCTAACTGATTGAAAGGGACCTGACCTGTACGAGAGCGGGGTGCTCGGGCCAGTCCTCCAGCCTCTGCTTCACCGCCACACCCAGCTGCAGCAGGACAGGGAGACACAGACGGGCCTCGCTCATGTTGGGCTGCTGGTAGAAGTCGTAGGCTCCCTCTGAGGTGACTGACAGGCCATCGGGGCCCCCGGAGCCCTGCACTGTGTTCTGCAGGAGGGCAGACAGCAGCAGCTCACTGCCTGTGAGCTGCTGGTCGATCTCAGCATCTGCAGGGGACAAAGAGGAACACATTTAACAACAACACTCAGGAGAGTCTGCGTTGTTTGAGTGACAGTAAACACTGACCAATCAGATGATAGAAGCGGGACATCATAGGGGAAGCAATCTGGTAGGAGGAGACCAAGGCTATGATGTGTTCTCTGCTGTGATTGGCTGGTGTTGTGCCCTTGTACCACAGTGATCGGGCGTGTCCCAGAGAGAGGCGCTGATGGACCTTCAGCACTGTGTTCATGGCAGCCACAGACAGGAAGCTGCCCTCACTGGACTCCTCCTGGACTCCCTCCTCCTCCTCCTGACGCTCTGAGTCTGATGGACCCTCCAGACTCGGCAGGGCCATGATGTCTGCAAAGTCCTGAAAAAGTGTGGAATGAGACCTTTAAATGTTTGAACATTGTTTTTTCGAGTTATGTCTCTCTTTGGTGTCATCTAATTTCTCTGCTGCACTAACAAACACAGGGTAGTGACATTTCAAGAGGGTACATCTTTATGATATTGATAACCGTTCCATTTGATCATGGCCAGCCACCAGGTGAAGTTACGACCTGTAGAAACGTACATCTTATACAAATGTTTAATGTGAAATGTGTTGAACAGTCTGATACTTTCTTCCTACAGTACATTCTAAGCATGAGAGTAAAAATCATGAGCGTGTTTTTTCAGATTATCATCTTTGTGAGTTGAAATGAGCATTTTAGAATTGTATTTATTCTTCTTCAAAATGAAGGAGGTTATTACTGAGACATCACATTTCAGTTATTTATTACGATTCATGTTGGCAGGGAAACTGGAACAGTCTGTTGTAGCCTCACTAAGATCTCACAGTGTCTAACAGACCTCATGTTCCTCCTCAGGACAGAGTGAATACCTTGTTGAACTGAGGGAACTGCTGTTTGAAGTCTCTCTCCTCCTGCTCGTCCTCAGTCAGTCCTGATCCGTGCAGTCGGCTGCGGTTACGATACAGACTGGCCTCCATCTGCTCCTTCTCCCTCTTTAGTCTCTCCTGTTCGTCCCACTCGTTCACCAGAGCCTGTGGAGAATCATGTTACAGTCAGCCATGCATTCATTTAGAACATTTGAAAAATATTGCAATTATTGTTGGATAGATTCAAACTTGAACCATTTCTGGATCTGTGTGTAAACTGGAGCTCTGACCTGACAGATGTGTCTGAAGAGGCTGCGGGACTCGGAGCTGAACTCCCCGGTGGACAGGGTGTGGCACTGCACGTACAGCAGAGCATTCAGAAGCAGCGTGGAGGACCGGGGCACCACCTGCTCAGAGTCCTGCTGCGGGAGGAGTTTCCCCACGCAGCGCAGGATGTCCATGCAGGATCTGGAGCAGAGGAAGTCGGCCCGGGCCAGGTAGGAGGGCAGGCTGGGGGACAGGGAGGGGAAGGCCAGCAGGCAGGACACCAGCTTAGGCAGACCGGGAACAGGCGTGAGTGAGGCAGCCACCTGGGAGGCCACCAGCCTCATCCCATGACGGAGCTGCAGGATGCCGGTCCGCAGCGGCCCCACCACGTCGGGGTACAGCGGGTAATCCTCCTGCAGCCTCTGGCAGAAGCGCTGCTGGGAGTTCTGCCACACAGCCTCCTCCTTCAGCAGGCCCTGGATGGCTGACCTGGACTTGGAGGAGGAGGAGGGGCCCTGCAGAGCCTTCAGCAGACGGAACAGCAGCTCCTTCACGGCTGACGTCTGGCCGATGCTGTACAGGTAGTGCTGCAGCTCCTGGAAGAGGCGGCCGTACTGCGGGTCATGAGGGCGGCAGGCCTGCTTCCTGGAGAGCTCCGCGATCTGCTCCTTCACCTGCTGCATTCGGATCCACAGGTACCTGCAACAACAAGCAACACAAGGGGATGAAGGACTATCCAGAAATCTAATATCAGCAACCAGGCCCGACCTCAGCCTCTGGTTGACTTGTCATTTCACACAGGAGAACTAGTGGCTGGCTCTGACCTGATGCGAGGGTGCTGGAAGCCGTCAGTAGTGCTGCTCTCCTCCAGCTCCGCTCCGGTCATCAGCTGAGAGGACAGGCTGCGGCCCCTCCACTCCTCCTGCAGCACAGCCAGCTGCAAAAATAACATTATGATGACAACTTTCATTGAATTATGCGTTTTATATAAATTAGTAGCATCTGGTGTAATTATGTGCTGCCAAAACATTGAAATGGTTTTCAATATAGAAACCTGACTACAATTTTACATATACCAGTATGTGATAATCCATCAAATGTTTTTCCTCTGATCTTAAACATGGTGGAAATAATTATTCTTTTTTTTGACTGACAATTTTGACAATAAATAATAAAAAAAAAGATAAGTAATGAATTGGAATTAGCATTATTACCTCAATCTTGGTTACACCTTAAGACTATCTGTTGTATAGACACTCAAACCAGGACAAAGGTTGTACAGGGTTAGGGTGAACACCCTTTTTCAATATTTTAAAAATGTAAAAAAATTGTTTTCATTCAATAACATTTGATAAAAACCATCAGTTGCTCACCTCCTGCTGGGCGTAGTTGAGTTTGTAGGCCCTCTTCACAGCCGGGTCAAAGATGGTCTGTGGGGTCCAGGCTTTGATCTGCAGCAGGCCCATGTTGACCCAGAACACTCCGGACTGGGCGGGCTGGTTGGAGCCTTGGACCTTGCTCTGGACGTATTGCTGAAGGCAGGCGCTGCAGGCCTCCAGCAGGCCGTCAGGGAGCACGTTGGGGGGCAGGAAGTCCCTGAAGACGGTCTGGATCTCCTGGGCCGCTATCAGAGGGTCCAAGTCCTCCACCAGGCTCTCGCAGCTCTCCATGAAGCCCTCCTGCAGGCTGGGGGGCAGCAGGTCCGCCATGCTCTGCAGCTGGCGGCGCAGCACAGCCCCCTGGAGACGGAAGTCTGTGCCCCTGGAGAGGACGGAGGGTTAGTAAGCCCCAAGATGATAAATGCTACACTGTAAAAACCAGAAATCTATCCAAGTATATCCAAGTATTGTCTATTATCGGGTCAGAATATGTCTTTACACTTGATATGAGACATAATAATGTACGAAGTAACAATGCAGTGAGATAGAGGGACTTTTTAGACAATGCTTCTGAAGTATCTTGTTAAGTTAAAGACTCTTATTTTGAGTTGGATCTCGGGTGAAGTTTTTATACAAGGTTTTTAAACTAATGTGGTATGTGTAAAAGATGGATCATCTTGTTTCAATAAATGAATCTTACTTGATTTTAGAAACCACATTTTTATTAGAAATCCACCAACTAAGATCAGAAAACAGAACACTGTTGAGCATTTCTGGCTTATTTTGAAACAACATTTCCTGATTCATGTAAATATAGTTAAAAATAAGTTTTCCCGACCAATTATAAGATCTCCTTTATCTAAATATTCCATCTTATTTCAAGAGATCTTCCCAAGCTAATTTTCACAGATTTCTTTACTTATTACAAAAGAAAAAAACACATTTCATTATTTGTTTTACTTGTTTTTGAGCAGCATTGGAGAACATTAAAACGTGTTTGACCTACCTGAACTCAGCCAGAGCAGGGATGGCCATGTTGTCCCACAGCACAGCAGTCACGTCCTGCAGCTGCTGGATCCTCTCCTTCCACTCCCCCAGGGTGACATGGGACAGGGAGAGGAGGGCTGCTCCTGACGGTTCCCATGCACCTCCAGTCTCACTGCTGCAGAGAACTCCCAGCATGCAATAGGACCACACGGCTTTACTCATTAAGGCTGGTCCCTGAAAACAACATGGCCATGTGTTACTCTTCAAGAAATCCCTTAATAATAATTATAGTATATACAGTAAGAGCAGCATGAGATGTTAGGTCAGTACCATGTTCTTTGCTCCGTGCTGCAGCTTTGGAGCTGTCTTGGTCTTGGGGCTCAGTGGGTCCCATTTCAGCCAGAGGTCGGGGTCAGAGGTCACACTGCTGGTCCACAGAGCGCCCAGAGCCTCTGACAGCAGCTCACACCAAACAAACTGCAGCTCTTCAGCTGGCTGGAGAGAAGAAGAAGGAATCATGAGCAACATTCTGTGGGTTTGGAGCCTAAGGAAATTCTTTCTCGTTTTCCGTATATTTTGAATATTAATGTAATAGTACATCGGGGAGGTCTGACAGGAAACCAAGAGGGAGAATGGGGTATCCACAGCAGGGAAGCTGTGATTACAAGGTGGGTCTCCAGGACCCTACGGAATAGTTCTTAATCTGAAGTTTGTATCATGTTTGTATATTTTAGTGTGGCAATTATTGATTAAGTCAAATTGGAATTGAGTTTGGGAGTTTGGGACATTACTTAATAAAATTGATTATTTGGTTCCTGTTTTTCCTGATACTTAAAGATCTCCTCCAGACATCCTATAAGACATGGAACAATTTTCAGTGACTGATGTTTTCAGTAAAGTAACATTAAGCAACACACATATTTTGAAGGGGCAATTTCAATTTTGTAACAGACAACAAGAAGATGGGATACCTTCTTTTTTTTGTATCGAATATTATCATCCTGAATCGATCCACAACTTAAAAATAATAATGAATATTGTATTTATATTAAAATGAATGACTGATTGTTTTTTTTGTTACTGACAAATAATCTAGATAATTGTAATGATGGAAAGTTATCCTATAGATGAGAGTAACACATGTCACTTCCGGGCGAAAATGTACGGCTCGCCCACTTTTGGGGGGAAACAAAGCTGTCATTTGAATGACGGTCAATACAAATTCTGAAGTTTTTGCCAATCCGATCAGAATTTTTTGAAAACCGTGGATATTTGGATCTTCAAAGAGCCCGATTACAATGGCCAGACAGGCAAACAATTACATTCAATCATTTGAAATCAACAATCGGTCTCGATATATGGTTAAATTAAAATCAGTAGGCAAGGCTGTCATTTCTCCAGCTGTTACTCTCATGAGCGAGGCAGAAAATAATAGTTGTATCATGCCAAAAAGCTGCTGGGTCGTTTATTGCCCAACAAACATTAAAACAAATCCAGAGTTACGTGTTTCTGTACTTCCTCTAAGAAGAAAGGACAGTAACAGAAGATCTCTGTGGCTTCAGGCTCGATCGCCGTTCAAATGACAGCGTTGGTTTCCCCAAAAGTGGGCAGGGCCGTAAAGTGACGTAGATGTTACTCTCATCTATGAAAATCGATAGCCTACAGCTATATTTAACCATACATCGAGCCCGATCGTCGATTTCTAATGGCTTAATGTAATTGTTTGCCCTG